TGTGAAGCCCCAGAAAGAAGGCGACATGCAGCTTCCGCAACGCTGCTCTACTTCCTGACAGGCAGCAGGGAGCCGCGTCGCCCCAGAAATCAATCCCACTTCTCACTGTGGCCCAAGCGCGTGCCTGCCAGAGAAAGGGTCCTTCCCACAGAAATGCAAAGGCATTCAGCTTGGTTCTCTTCCAGAAGGAACCAGGAAAACAGGCACTTTCCCTGTTATCACTTATCATCGCCCTTCTATTCCAAAATCCACTCAGTAGAGTCCAGTTCCAGTTAGATGTAGACAATCTCAACCCAAGATGCTCCCCTGATGCCCGGGTTAGCACTGAAAAGCTGAGGAAGCAGTGACTCACGGCTACCGTCAGACCGGCACCTTCTCCTCTTCTGCCAGGTCCTCACGGTCCTGCCCTCACTTCTCTGAACTCTGAAGTCACTCTTGAATAACACTCACACAGACAGGAGCAAATCGGGTTTCCACAAGTGAGTTAAATCTTAAAACCTGGCCGGGTGTGGTGCCTTACACCTATAATCCTAGCGCTTTGGGAGGCCACAGGGGGCAGACTGCCTATCTCAGGAGTTCAAGGCCAGCCTGGTCAACTGAGTGAAACCCTATCTCTACTAAAAATGGAAAAATTAGCCAAGCATGCTGGTGTGCATCTATATTCCCAGCTACTCGGGGAGGCTGAGGCAGGAGAATCGCTTGAACCGGGAGGCGGAAATTGTAGTGAGCCAAGATCGTGCCACTGCACTCTGGCCTGGGCAACAAAGACTCCATCTGTCTAAAAACAATCTTACATCCTAAATTCTGTATCCAGCTTCTTTTTTGGTTTAATTAACTAAACGGAAAGTTCCAAAAGGCAGTACTTCTCATTTGTATCCTGATTTTAAAAACTGCTACGTCCTGATTTAAATTTCAAACAAATATACAATCTGGAAAGATCTTTTACTTTAAAACCTAAGATTAAAACCATCCAGAAAACTCAATTTTCTGCAAATAAATATCCAACAGTAACTTAATGCTCGAGTGCACATTTTCCATAGAGCGGCAGTTCCTGGGACTCAAAGCATAGATTTTACAGCACTGGTGAACCGCTCTGTGCCGGAGGCCCCAATGTGCCATGCCTGGAAGCAAAATCAAAAGGCCGGCAGGGCCCGGAGCCTGCTACTCCCAAGAGGAGACGCACAGCGCCCGACTGCTCCCATCCACACGTCACAGGTGAGCCATCAAGGAGCTGCTAGAAGCCTCTCTTCCCCTTACAGGGCCACCAAGAGTCCTTCACCTGGACGCCTGTCCACCCCCACCCCAGAAGGAGTCCTGGCTCTAGGCTGTCCAGGACCAGGCAGGAGCTGCCACATCCCTTGAGGGGACACTAGAGCAGATCTGCTTAGTCGATTTGCAGGAAGTGTCCAGAAGAGACCTCACAGACCGTAAGGCAGGACAGAGGGAGCACGAAGAAGTTCCACATAATTCTGGGAAAAATGGGTTGGCAAGATAGTCTGTCACTCATCCCAGCGGGCAAACACAACATGATAAAAATGACTCCGTGACTCGTAAGAGGACCACGCTGAGCCAGTGGGGCTAAAGGTCTCTAAAGACAACAAAGTCACTGCAGGAAAACCCAAGAACAGGGAGGGAACACATTCGGAACCCAAGAGCCGAGCCAGGAGGGAAGGCTCCAGCTCCGTGACAGAGGCAGCAGCCCAGGGCAGAGCATCAGGGCCCACAGGCGGCCCCAGGTACCAGAGCTCGGCAGTGAGGAGGGTGTCCAGGTAGAGGGAAGTACAGAACAAAAGGTGAGGCCTCAAGTGAGATGAAGGAATTGGGGGCTGGCACAAGGTGTCAGGGGCCAAGCAGGGCACAAAGGGCACCCCCAGACCGAGATGTCCTCATAAGGGTATGCAGATCAGGTGAGGTGAGGAGGCAGTCTGCGACAGGCACCGGGCCAGCCAAGTGCGAGATCGGGCAGCCGCCTGCTGGGAGCAGAGCATCAGTGACAGGACAGTCAGCCACAGAGGGATCTCTCCCATCAGAAGCACGTGGAGGAGAAGCACATAGTGAAGGGAGAAAGGATCACCTTTGCAGAGCTGGACTGGAATGGGCTCATATGTATACGTGTGTATGTACATACATAAGCAGCCACACATGGAAACAGATGTAAACATGTGCATGTACGTGTGGGTGCACACATGCGATCTCCACCCATGCCCACTGAGAGCCCACCAGCAAAGCTCTCCCCAGCTCCAGGTCCTGATTTCTAAATACAGTTCCCCACTAGAAGGAGCCAGGGCTGAGCCCTGAAAGGCAGCAAGAGAAGAGGATGAGCCCAGAATGCCCCGTGTTCAAAAGTACTCAAAGAATTAGTACATCTCAGGAGGCCACAGAAGCCAAATCCAGAACAATCTGCAAATCAATGACATTAATTATTCATACTATGATAGTAACAGATTATACTCCATCAAAGACTACAAATCAATGAGTGAACTGCTTCCAGCCAAGATGCCTGTAATCCAGGGACTGGGTCACACCACTGCCTGAAGCAAAACAAACAAAACGAAACCACACACACACACACACACACACGCACGCGCACACACACACACACACACACACACACGGCAGGCACCACTGCCTGAACCAAAACAAACAAAACGAAACCACACACACACGCACACACACACACACACACACACACACACACGGCAGGCACCACTGCCTGAACCAAAACAAACAAAACGAAACCACACACACACACACACACACACACACACACACGGCAGGCACCACTGCCTGAACCAAAACAAACAAAACGAAACCACACACACACACACACACACACGCACGCACACACACACACACACACACACACACGGCAGGCACCACTGCCTGAAGCAAAACAAACAAAACGAAACCACACACACGCACGCACGCACACACACACACACACACACACACGGCAGGCACCACTGCCTGAACCAAAACAAACAAAACGAAACCACACACACACACACACGCACACACACACACACACACACGCGCACACACACACACACACACACACACGGCAGGCACCACTGCCTGAAGCAAAACAAACAAAACGAAACCACACACACACACACACACACACACACACGGCAGGCACCACTGCCTGAACCAAAACAAACAAAACGAAACCACACACACACACACACACACACACACACACACACGGCAGGCACCACTGCCTGAACCAAAACAAACAAAACGAAACCACACACACACACACACACACACACACACACGGCAGGCACCACTGCCTGAAGCAAAACAAACAAAATGAAACCACACACACACACACACACACACACACACACACACACGGCAGGCACGGTGGCTCGTGTCTGGAATCCCAGCACTTTGGAGGCCAAGGCGGGTGGATCACTTGAAATCAGGAGTTCAAGACCAGCCTGGCTAGCATGCTGAAATCCCATCTCTACTAAAAATGAAAAATTACCTGGGTGTGGTAGTGCACACCTGTAATCCCAGCAGGCAGGAGAATCACTTGAACCTGGGAGGTAGAGGTTGCAGTGAGCCAAGATCCTACTACTGCACTCCAGCCTGGGTGACACAGCAAGACTCTGTCTCAAAACAAAATTTTAAAAACCACACACAAAACACCAAGAACCAAGGAACATGAATCAGTGGTTTTCAAGACCATGGACACGGAGGAACAAAGGACAATGATGCCTCCCTGCAACCCTTAGAGATGGGAAGCAAGCCCAGCAAGCCCTCCAGGTATGGAGCGGAAGCCTGGAGACTCCCTGAGTTGAGGACACAGAGCTGAGTCTGGGGAGATCAGGACAGCTACAGTTCCTAGACTGTGTTCAGGAGAGGAGAGGTACCAGAGAGTCCTGGAGACCGCACAGGGCCCTCGAGTATTCCACAGGGAACTGTCGAGTAAGTGCGTGCGGGAACCACCCAGAGCTGGAACAAAACCCGCAGACACCATCAGAGGCACCCATGCTTGGCACTCACACAGGGCAGAGAACGGGGCTGTCCGCATGGGCCAGTCTGGAAAAGCAGAGGAACTCAAGACTAGCTTGCCTCGGCTGTAAGGAATAATTTGCCCTGGACTGACCACTCATCCAGACCCATCAAATCATAAAGCTATACTCAAAAGGAAAAAAAATCAATCAATAGAAATAGCCCCAGCAATGACAAAGCAACTAAAAGAGTTACAGTAACTACTGTCACTTAGTTACTTCATATGTTGAGGAAGGCAGAGGACTGAAGTGAAGCAGACACATGGAAGATACTTAATTAAGAAAAAGACCCATATGGAACTTTTAGAGACAAAAACCTCAACATCTAAAATGAAAAATATACGAAGTGGAACAAGAGCTGATTAGACACTGCAGAAGAAAAGGTTAGCATGAAGACAGAGCAGCAGCAATTACCCAAATGAAACACCAAGAAAAGGACTAAAAAAAAAACAGATTATCAGTGCGTTATGGAACTTCAAGTAGCATGCATATATACACTTAGAGTCCCCAGAAGAGGGAGCGGAAGAAAATATCTGAGGAAATAATGACCAAAAATGTTCTAAATCAGGCCACAAGCAGTGGCTCAGGCCTATAATCCCAGCACTCTGGGATCACTTGAGGCCAGGAGTTTGAGACCAGCCTGGCCAACATGGCAAAACCCAATTTCCACTCAAAATACAAAAATTAGCCGGGTATGCTAGGGCGCGCCTGTAATTCCAGCTGCACGGGAGGCTGAAGCGTAGGAATCGCTTGAACTCAGGAGGTGGAGGTTGTGGTGAGACGAGATTGCACCACTGCGCTCCAGCCTGAGTGATAAAGTAACACCCTGTCTCAAAATAGAAAAATGTTCTAAATGAGATCAAAACTATAATCCAGGCAGTCTGAATCACACTGCGACGAAGGGGTAGGTGGTGGGATCTCACCATGGGTCCAAGTAGCCCCTTCTCTGCCTTGCTTGCCTGAGCTTCAGCAGAATTCGAAATGGCTGGCGTTAAGGCTGGGAAGGGCTCCAGAAAGGCCAAGACAAAGGCCGTTTCCCGCTTGCAGAGAGCCGGCTTGCAGTTCCCAGCGGGCCGTATTCATCAACACCTGAAATCCAGGACCACCAGTCCTGGACATGTGGGCACGACTGCCACTGTGCACATGGTGTACATGCAGCCACCCTGGAGTACCTCACCAGGAAATGCATCAAAAGACTTAAAGGTCAAGTGTGTGACTCCTCGTCACTCGCAACTTGCTACTGACGGATTTGAAGAGTTGGATTCTCTCATCAAGGCTACAGCTGCTGGTGGCGGTGTCATTCCACACAGCCACACACCTCTGACGGGGAGAACGCATAACAGAAAACGTCTAAACGACGCCCGACTCCTTGTTCTCTCAGGACTCTATATGCTGATTCCAGCGGACTGCATCTTTGTGAAAAACACAATTTTGCCATTTTGTAATTCTATTTGAGCAAGCTGGAAGTTTAATTAGCTTTCCAACCAACCAGATTTCTGCGTTCAAGTCTTAACCATATTTAAGTGTTCCTGTGGCTTCAATGAAGCTGTTGAATCTGAAGTAGTAGGTTTTGATTGTTTTTTAAAAAACTATTTGGATCTAATTGTGATGCAGAAGTTATAGCAGCAAACACCTGGTTTTATACAGACATTATTTCCACTCTGGTGGGCAGGCTCAATAAAGGTCATGTCCTGATAAATAAATAAATAAAACTATAAACCCCAAAACCCCAAGCACAAGAAATAGGAAGAAATTTGCACCAAAGCATACCATCATCCAAATGTTAAAAACCAACATAAAGAAAAAAAAACCTAAAACGCAAAGAAAAAAAGTCACTTTATATGCAAAATAACAAAAACAATACTCAAAGATTTATCACGGGAAACAACAGAAGCCAAAAGATGTGAAACATCTTCAAGTTCCAAAAGAAAAAAAAACTGTCAAACTAGAATTTCTCAACGTACAAAAGCCAGAAGAACTTATCAAACAGACCTGCACGACAAGCAAGGTTACAGAAACCCTGAGTCAAAGGACATCCAGGCCAGAGGAAAACCTGGATCTGCACACAGGAAGAGAGAGACAGCAATGGAAATGGCAACTGGGTGGGTCAATACACGCCATGCCTCACACTTGTCATCCCAGCACTTGGGGAGGCCGAGGCGGGCGCATCACCTGAGGTCAGGAGTTCAAGACCAGCCTGGCCAACAGGGCGAAACTGGTCTCTACTAAAAACACAAAAATTTAGCTGGGCATGGTGGCAGGTGCCTGTAATCCCAGCTACGTGGGAAGCTGAGGCAGAAGAATCAGTTGAACTGGAAGGTAGAGGTTGCAGTGGGCTGAGATCTCACTACTGCACTTCAGCATGGGTGACAGACTTAGACTCCGTCACAAAAGAAAAAAAAAAAGACCTATTTTTCTATTTTTAATCTCTCCAAGGCATAACTATTTAAGGCAAAAATATTAACAATGCACTATGGGGTTTTAACACATATAGAAAATGTATGACAATAGTAACAGGCTGGGAGGAAGGGAAAGTAAATGATACAAGTTTACAAAGTTCTAATACCAGTGTCAAGTAATATACTACTACCTGAAGGAAGAATATGGCAAGTTAGATGTACTCCATAAATCCTAAATATTATCAACTTACTCCTTTTTTAAACAGATGATAATAAGACTGAAAAAAGAAACATGCTCTCTATTAGATGTAATTTTAAGGTAAAAAAGTCTCATTCCAAATGGCCAGGAAAGTTTTGACTAACAATAAAAATGTAAAATTTTTATGAAATTAAAGGGCAGAAAAAAGTCATAAAAAAATGGAAAAACATATATGCCATGTTCCCTGATTCAAGATGACTCATGATTAAAGTTCTTCTCAAATGAATTAAGAACATATTCAAGGCAATCCTCATCAAAACGCCTCCAACCTTCTCTTTCAATGGATATCGCATTTCTCTCCTGCGGTGTAACAAGCCACTCCACACTGTAGTGATTTAAAACTTTCTTTTGCTCACAGATCTACAACCTACAGAGGATATGGTGGGGACCCAGGTCTCTGCTCCACCTGGCGTCAGCGGTATGTGGAGGCTGGAAGCTAACACACACACAGCAGGACTCAGCTGGGACAGGCTGAACACCTCTGGGTGGCCTTCCCACGGGGCTGCTCGGCTTCCTCACGGCACGGTGGCTGGGCTCTAAGAACAAGCATCCCGAGAGAAGCCAGCAGAAGACATGTTATCTTCTCTTACTTCATCTCCAGTATCACAGTGCTGCTTCTGCCCCAGTCAGAGGCTCACCCAGATTGAACTGAAGGAAACACAGGCCCAGCCTTTCAACAGAGGGAAGTCACTGTCACATAGAGAGGAGCATGTGGAACGGGTATGCTGCTACAGCCATCTTCAGAAAATAAATTTGGACACACGACATGTGGAAGGGAAAATGTAGACAGCCACAAGGTTTATTTTAAAAGAAAGACACGGACACATATTATAAAAGCGTAATAATTAGGCCGGGCGCAGTGACTCAAGCCTGTAATCCCAGCACTTTGGGAGGCCGAGGAGGGTGGATCACGAGGTCCAGAGATCGAGACCATCCTGGTCAACATGGTGAAACCCCGTCTCTACTAAAAATACAAAAAAAAAATTAGCTGGCCGTGGTGGCGCGTGCCTGTAATCCCAGCTACTCGGGAGGCTGAGGCAGGAGAATTGCCTGAACCCAGGAGGCGGAGGTTGCGGTGAGCCGAGATCGCGCCATTGCACTCCAGCCTGGGTAACAAGAGCGAAACTCCGTCTCAAAAAAAAAAAAAGTGTAATAATTAAAAGTCTGATTCTGGCACAGGATAGACAATGATCAATAGAACCACAGTGTCTAGAACATTTTGCATACAGGATGTTGGTTTAAAAAAAAAGGTGACATTCCCAGTAAGTGGAGAAAAGACACACTATTATGAAATGGTGTTAGGCCAATTTGCTATGCATTCAGACAATAAAATTAGACCCTCAAGCCCCAAAGCTCCTACCCACATAAAAATAACTTGAAGCTATACAGGTCCCAATACAAAATATCAATTACAAAATTATTGCAAGAAAATACAGAAAATCAGCCATCTTCAGACAGACAAGGCCTCCCTAAGCAAGATACACTACTCAAAAGCCATTCTGTAAATGACATATTTCAGTCCATAAAAACTGCAATAGTTTTAAATACCTAAGCACCAAATGATACGTCAACCACTCATACGAAACGAAAACTACAGGAGGTGCAAGAGGGACAGAAACGCACCAATAATGGAAGACTTTACCACACCACCGTCAGTCAAGGACAGGCCAGATGGACAAAGCTTAAAATACAAATGACCTGAACAACACAAGCAGCAAGACAGGTCTTACAGATAAACACTTAACACTACAATCTGGAAACAGAGAAAATACATTCTCAAACACTCATGAAATGCCCACAAAAACTGATCCTAATAGTCAAATTTATAACATTTTAAAAATAAGTTTTATAAAGCAGAGATATAAACACTTTCTGACCACAATGCAATAAAGCTAGAAATTTCTAAACAAACATTTTTTAAATCTTTTTTTCCCCTGGAAATTAAAAAGCTTTCTGCTAAACAACTATTTAATGAGAGGGAAATACAAATCAAAAATAAATAATTTCTGAAAAATGATAAAACAATGGGATACATTTAAAGTAGTAACCAGAGAAAAATTCATACATTGAAAGACCTGTATCAGTAAAATTTTAAGAATGAAAGTAAATGCATTTCAAACTCCCAAACACTAGAAAATGAACAAAGTAAACCATGAGAAAACAAAAAGGAAATAATAAAAATGAAAGTAGAAAATGAGGTAGAAAACACATAACAAATATTTCAAAACTAACAATAAATCAGATGAATACATTAAAATCCTGGTTCTCTGGTGGTAGGAGGAAATCGAACTAGCTAATTTAATCAAGGAAGAAAAAGAGGAAGCACAAATGCACAAAATAGGAAATAATGATGAGGGCAGAGCACGGTGGTTCACGCCTATAATCCCAGCACTCTGGGAGATCACCTGAAATCTGGAGTTCGAGACCAGCCTGGCCAAGATGGTGAAGTCCCCTCCCTACTAAAAATACAAAAATTAGTCAGATGTGGTGGCAGGAGAATCACTTGGACCTGGGAGGCAGAGGTTGCAGTGAGCCAAGATCGCGCCACTGCATTCTAGCCTGAGTGACAGAGCGAGACTCAGTCTCCAAAAAATAAAAAAGAAATAATGATGAGAAAATAACTACTGACAGGACATTTTAAAAGTCAAAAAAAAAGACTACTTTGTATATTTCAATGAAAATAAGTTTTAAAACTTAACTGAAATATGTAATTTCCAAGAAAAATGTAGTTTATCAAAATTAACAAATGGCTAAAACAGACCAATTTTCATCAAAGAAATACAAAAAAGTACCTGGCCCAGCTAGTTTCCCAAAATTCCATCAAATCTTAGAGATCAGATAGTTCCAGTGCTACATAAATTACTTCAGAAACAGAAAGTACGTGAAAACTTCCAAATTTTTAATGAATTAAGTAGAACATCAATACCTAAACCTCATAAAGAGAGCATAAGGCCGGGCAAGGTGGCTGACGCCTGTCATCCCAGCACTTTCGGAGGCCAAGGCAGGTGGATCACAAGGTCGGGACTTCAAGACCAGCCTGGCCAATATGGTGAAACCCCATCTCTACTAAAAATACAAAACTTAGCCGGGCATGGTGGCGTGTGCCTGTAGTCCCCGCCACTCGGGAGGCTGAGGTAGGAGAATTGCCTGAACCTAGATGGCAGAGGTTGCAGTGAGCTGAGATCGTGCCACTGCACTCCAGCCTGGGCAACAGACTCCGATTAAAAAAAAAAAAAAAAAGAAAGAGCATAAAACAAAAGTTACTGATCCACCACTTCAGCACATGTGAATTACAGATGCAAAAATTCCTAAATAAAATGTAAGTGATAGACTCCAATACCACATTAAGAAAATAATACTATGTCTAAGTGGGATTTATGTCACTAAGTGGGAATGCACACATAGTTCAATAGTGAACCATCACAGCTCTAGTCCCAGCACTTCAGGAGGCTGAGGCAGGAGGACTGCTTGAGGCCAGGAGTTTGAGATCGGCCTGGGCAACATGGTAAGATCCTGTCTGTACTAAAGGTACAGGAAGAAAAGCCAGACGTGTCCCAGCGACTTGAGAGGATGAGGTGGGAGAATCACTGAGCCCGGGAGGTCAAGGCCACGCGACCCAAGAACCTGCCGCTGCACTCCAGGCTGAGCAACAGAATTTTAAAAATCTCTAACAAAGTAAACTGCAAACACAAAAGTAGACCTGCACAGAGGAGAGACATCCCGTGTTCCTGAGCACGTCTCAACATCTTGAATATGTTAGTTCTGTACATGGGAATGTATAAACTTAGTTTGATCAC